TTTTTCAGTTAATTGTAAATGGTTGTTTAAGTATCTAGTAATTCATCTAGGACTATTCGAGTGGCACAAGTTTACATAGAATTTTCTTTTATGTAGTACCTGCTGACATGCAGCCACTATGCAATCAAATACAACATGATCTTGTTTTATCAAATAAACAATAAAAATTTTCTGTAAGAGTAATTAAACAAGAAGATAATTGCTTTTTTATTTTTAATTGAAATTAAAGGATCAACATTCTAAGCTACACTATGTTGACAAAACTATTGGGATAAATATAGGAGGTGATGAAAGTAGCTTTTATTAAATAACGCTTTTTCAATATCAGTGGTGTGCTGTGACATTTGATGACAGGGAAGCTGTGTTTCTGTAAGAAGCCAACTTCCAAGGGCAATCAGTTAATTCTCTAAATGTACAGTAGATCCCCCTATAAAACCGTTTCCTATAGTTATGATTCCTATAAAAATTGTGGCATTATCCGTAAACAACGGTAAAAATAACTCCTATAATACGTAAAACGTCATCGGGCAGCCGAACTACTTACCCGCCGTCCGTAGCGCCACGCTACGGAGAGATTTCTATCGTCTGGACAGTATTATATAAATTATATATAAATTAGGTACTGTACATATAATTATATATTAATTATATATAAATTAGGTACTGTATATATAATTATATATTAACTTAATNAGGACCAGGTGTCCACAGAAATTTCCAAAATTTACAACTTTTTGGTCACTCTCGTTGAACTGGAAAAATTTCTGTTTATATTACATCTAATATTATGAAGAAATCAGTCCCCACTGTACAGTACTTGGTTAGAGATTGGGTCGGTTAAGTTTTTAAGTAATATTCCGGCTCTTTCAGCAGGGTTTTATTTTGTCCCTAATTCCCTAATCTCTTAATTATTTAACTACTTCTTAAGTAGAAATAAGTCGAACTGGTTACTTTGTACTGTACTTGAATATTTGTAGTCTTGGGAAAAAAGTGGAAAGGCAAATTTTTATGACAACTGGTATATAAATCGTAAATTTAAGGAAAATAAATTATAGAGCTTTTTCTGTACCTTGTGCATCTCTCTTTCATTAAATTTAGTTGTAAATGATGCTACCAAAGTAACAGTTAATTTTTTAACATTATACAAGAATTGTACACATTTTTTCTACATCCTCTTATAGATGGGACATATGAAATCGTAATATTACTGGTTTAACATTGAAATCCGTAAGTAATATAAGATGGGAGAGTGGAATAAAAGGAAAATAAATATATCATATATTTTAATGGATTTTTTAAAACTCTTGCCAACTATACAGAACTATCATAAAAACATACCAGTAAATTCTTATCGGTTGGGTTAAGTTATAAATCTATTCATGATTCACGTAATCGGGCAAGTGCATCCAAATATCTAGCAGGCAGGCAGCTAACAGCCCAGAACCAGTCCTGGATAGAATTGGAAGCGTTATACGTATGTAGCTTCCACCCAAGGTCGTAGGCTTCCACCAGCTAAACCAGGTGAGGTTGGTGTTCTGTAAAGCGCATGCGCAAATCTGGCTGTTCAGAAGCTGACAATATAGCGCTTCCATTCCGCCACTAATATTCGAATATACAATAGCAATCTTATTTTTTTTTTCATATGTAGTATAGAAATTTGTAATAAGATGCATAATGTTTATAATAAAATATTGTGCAATTATTTTCATATAATTAAAATTGATATGTATTTATTTTTTAGAAAATACAAAGGAAGCGGCGCATCCACTGCTTCCAATGACGGCACACCATTGTTCAATATGGTATTGGGCTGTCAGTGGCTTGAATTACTACATCGACTCTCTTAGGCATGCTTTCAACCAAATTCTGATAGGTATATAGAGGACATTCCTCCATTCCTCAAAGATAGCCTCAGTACTGTTGGAGTGAATAATGGGCATGTTGATGGCACTGAGATATGGCATTCTAGTTCATCCCATAGCTTCTCGATAGGATTATGATTTGGACTTTGGGCTGACCAATCAAACTTGTGGACAATTCTGTTCTTCAAACCACTCCTCAACTCTGTGCTGTAAAGCATGATGCTTGGTCATGTTGACAGAGGCATGGAACTGAACCAAGGTCATGCCACATTGTGATCAATGTCTCTGTACCTAATGGTCCTAGTCCTTCCCAGCAGAAATACCTCTGCATCATAAAGTATATACAAAACTTCACTGTTGAGACAACATAGCTGCATATAAATTGCTCTTCAGGCAACTATCACATCAAAATATGACCATCGATTCCGGTAGATCAAACTTTTTTGCCAATTCACAAATTTTCATTTTTGTATCGAAGTCTTTAATAATGTTAACTTTACATTCCAAAGATAAACTTTTTCTTTTCTTGTTTGATGCAGAATCAGTTCTACTTCGTTTGGATGACATAGTAAAGTCTCTCGAGTCTCCGTAGATATAACAAACAGAAATAAATAACACAAAATAAATTGTAGCTATGCGTCAATTCCATGCGACATTTCCGAACATGTAAGCTGAACAATAGTGTGAGGGGAGTGAGTAATCAAGAGTTGCATGGGCTCAAACAAAAGACGAATCGGCGAGATTTGAAAATCGCATAACTCCGGGTTTGCATAAGTCGAGGTATTACTGTATTAACACTTTCTTCTGCTCACTGGCAGTTTAAGAATGAAGCACCAAGCACTATTGCAGTCACTACTGTTCATTTATTGCTGTAATGTTCAGCTTGTATGCAGCTACTTGTCCATGGTAATCTTTCACATGTAGTTCCCTGTACATGAATATTCTAACATTATTGGATGTTCCAATGGCTTGTAAGACCTCCTAAATGACATTTTTTGGGGATGTTTGACAGATGTCAAATGAATGAGTGTGACACTAACTAATTGATTTCAAGAAAGTGCAATAGAATGACAGTGAGAGTTTAAATTTTTATTTGTGAATGTTAACTCTGATTTATATGCACAATGAGACCTAAAAGCTGGAAATATTGGATTCATCTTCTAAAATCATTTGAGAATTCCAAAAGATGAATCAAATATATTAGTAATTTAAAAAAAAAAAAATCTGATAAAAATTAAAGTACAGTAAATCCTCAATTTAACAAACCCCAATTTAATGAACTTTGGATTTAACAGGAAAAATTTAAACCTTTTTATTTGCAAATAGGTCATGCTAAAAAAGTGGGTAGATGAGTCAATGAGTATAAAGTACTCAATGTATATTATAACATTATTTTATTCATACTTATACATTATAACAATATTTTAATACATCTTGTACATTTTAAGTTTGTTATTAATACATGTTTTTAATATACAATTTAATAGATTCTTGAAAATAGCAGACATCCCTTCCAATTAGTCTAATTAAACTAAGGGTTTACCATATTAATATTTCTCAAATTTCATAACATAAAATCACTCACTTTATTACTGTAATAATTATCAACTGTATCACAATTAAAAAATATATATTCAAACTTTAAAAAGCAAAATATTTTGTTACTCTGAAAAAAAAAGCTTAGTAATAATACCATAATAAACTAGAAAAAGTTTGAAAACTTTCATTTTCATTACAAAACACTATCAAATTTGCACAATAGGAATGAATAAATTATATTAAAAAAATTTCCAACAACAAACTTGTTTTTGAATAAATGCATCATCCTGGAAAGATAATACACATACATAATCTTTCCTTCACTCTCTATGTATAGGAGATGTTGATCCCAAAGTAAACATTCATATTTTTATTTATAACTCTTCAGTCATTTATATTATTTTATTTTCTAGTTAGTTTATATTATATAAATATATTTTTTGTTTTTTGAATTAATTAATTCATAAATTAAAAGATTATAAATATCATAAAAAATCATTTAACAATATAATTTAATACTTGATAATGCCATGACATTTTAAATACCAAATTAGCACTTAGTTTAAATAAAAGTAAAATTTTATCATCATCAAATATATCATAAAATATATTTTGATTGTATGTTCTCTTGGAAACTGGCATAAAAATTATTATTGAGAACATATCATATAGGAACACTCCTCTTGATGGAAAAAGTAGATTTTTATTTTCTATAATTTACGAAGGATATGCATTTTGAGCATTACGCCCCCTCTTCAGTTATTATTAAGAAAATGGTGAAACTAAAAGTATAATTATAGTGACTACTGGAATAACTAATTGTTAAAAATTTAGAGTAGAACAAGTAAAACTGTAAAAATAAAAATTTTCTACCCCATGTTTTTAAAAATTAGTTATTTCAGTAGTCACTGTAATTATATTTTTAGTTGCACCATTATCATAATAAGAACCAAAGAGGGGCCTGAAATGCATATCCTTTGTAAATTATAAAAAATAAAAATTCCCTTTTTCCATCAAGAAGTGTGTTCCTGTATGATATGTTCTCAATAGCAATTTTATGCTAGGTTCCAAGGAACATACAATCAATTGAGAGAACAGCAATCAAGTATATTTTGATTCTTTTTGTAATCATATTACTGAAAGAATCAAAATATAAATTAATTTCATGCATTATTACACATAATTTGTAAAAACATTTAAAAATTTACAAATCAGAAATAAAAAAGTAAAAACCAGTAATAAAAATAGTTTAAAGCATTAAATGAGTATTTACGTAATAAGCAAGTAACTTTGATCAACACATTAGCACTTCTTTTAAGTGTGAGCTTTAGTGTGATGCTCTGATTCTGTTTGATGATTTCAAAAGAATCAAAAAGGACCAAAAAAGTTAAATTTTTTAATAAAAATAACACCCCAATACTGGTTAATATTAATCCGAGATCCACTACTTCACAACATTTTTGTCTGTTTTAAAAATGAATAAAAATGTTCACTTATCAAAGTGAGTAGTTCTTTTCTATTGCTGGTTCTTTGGTTTGTGAAGTAGTGGATCTCAGATAAATTTTTTAAACTATGAAAAGAAATATTTTATAATTTTACCTGAAAATAATTGAATCAAGATCAAATGGATATTCAATAATACCAGTTGTGGGCACTCTTACTCTGAGAATATCTTGTTGAGTGGGAAGGTAATCTTGAGCTGCTATTCTATCAATATCACTCAAGTAGCTTTAAAAAAAATTTTAATTATATAAATTTTAATAAATGCATTGAAACATTTTATAAATTATTTATTTTACTTTAAAAATTCCTTTAATAATTGTATATAAAAAACAAATTTGTAAACATATAGAAGTTAGTTATTTTATACTTCCAGATATTTTTAGAATATATTAAAATTATAAAATAAAAGTCCTTATAGAAAGACACCAACCGAATGCTGTAAATCAATCGGGCTATTTTAATGCTAAATTCTAAATAAATTACGTAATTAATTTGGCACTAGAGGTAAGCGTTAGGCGCCATCCCTTATTAAAATTAATAATTATAAATATATTAATTAATTTAAATAATTTGGAACCGCTGGGAGAAAAAATCGGCCCAGAGCGGAACTCGAACCCACAACTCCTGCTTACCGTGCAGATGCGATTGTTTATATAAAAGTCCTTAACTATCAAAAACAAAGAAATTAACAAAAGCAAATAATGTTAAAATATTAAACACCTTCAACTAAATCATTTATATTTTTGTATTTTATGGCTATTTTGATTCTACTTCAAATCAGTTACAAGAAACTATGTTGAAATTTCTCATAATGATAATCCTCAGCTTGTACTGTAAGTTGAAAATCCTCGATATGAAATTTATATAAAATATCAGAAGCAGCAAAACTAACAAATATTCATCAAACATAAATATCAAATATTTATAATTAAATCTAAATTTCATTCTAAAGTTTTTGATAAATTATCAAACAATAAGGAAAACTTACTATTTTGCTGAATCTGTGAGTTGATATTCTCTCCTTCTGTCATAACATTCTTGTATTCCTGAATCTGCCCAAAGGGATTTAATTGCATCCACATATGGCTTATCAAATGTTGTAACTGTTTCATAGTCTACAGTTCTTACTAATTCACCATTTTTCTAAATAAAAAATAATACCAAAAATTGAACAAAAAAATGAAATAAACTATCATTCTGTTATAATATTTAAATACAATAATGAACTAACTTTATAACAAACAAAATGTTGCTCTTCTGCTTACAAGAGTCATTATAAAAACTTTCCTTACTATAAAGTAAGTGCTTTTTTGATTTATTTGGTTTGGTTTTTTGGATGATTTTTGGTTTATTTTTGATCTTTAAAGTTCAAAAATAAACCAAATTCCAATTTGAATGTTTTCTTGTGTATAGAATACTTCCTCAAAATTCAAACTTAATCATTTGTGCAGTCATTCTATAACAGCTTATCATCAGTTTTTTTTTTATTTCCAACTTCTTTCCTGTTTCTTTCTCTTTATTCATCCAAGACTTCATATTATTCAATAAACAAAAGATGTTAGAGTAAGTTTTCTTTCTCTTTATTTTTCATTATCTATTTCCCTACAGACAATATTTTACATCTTTTACACTAAATCACTTAACTATTTGAACCTTCTTATATATATATATATATCTTTCTTTTCTGCCATTTGCATATTCACATCTTCATTAATTGATAATGATGCTTTTAGTCTATGAAATCTTTCTTACACCTCTTTACTGTATATTATAGTGCTTGGTGCTATATTCTCCTACCTCTACATATATCTTTTTTATGTTCCTTTATTCTTTGTCCCCAAGTTCTATCATTTAATTGAACCAGTGGGCATTAAGATTTAAAACGATAAAATTTACAAATGCTATTTGTTAATGACTTACACTCCAACTTTTACAAACATCCAAAAAACAGGAACTTCTTTTTGGCAGGAATAAAATGTGATAGAGGTATATTTGTGAATCTTGGTTAATAATCTTTAGTATAGTAATTTATTATTATATATTATTTAATATATATAATATATTAATAATTACTAATGTTAAATAATAACTAATAATAAACTAATTTTACTGAATTCAAAGCAATTTTGAAACTAATTTGACATATGATATTTAAAAACAACTTTTTACTGAAACCAATTTCAAGAATTTCCAGCTTTTGCAAGCACTAACTCTTAAAGCCAGAAATAACTCAGTAAACTACATTTAAACTTTCCTTTATTGTTAGAATCACTGACTATATTGACTATATTTATATTAAATAGTTCTTGACATTTTGGACAATTGAATTACTGATAGTTTCGATACACCTACAGACACGGGATTATAAAATTTTTAAGAATTACTTAATACATTTAAACTGATTAAAATTCAAGTTTTGTTCATATTAAATGAATAATCATTCCTATTACTTTATATTAATACCAGGAACAGTAACATTGATATGACATCATAATTTTTTTAACAGGGAATTAAACTACCAGTATGCACTTCTTATATTTTCATGCTTATATTTTGATGAGAAACTATTTTATTTTCATCAACATATATATTATATTTTTGTCCACTTTGGATGTTCTTGTGGACTAGGACTTGTTATACTGAGGTAAGAGAAACACAATTTCCAATTAAAATATATTTATTGTAACATAATCTTGATTATGTATCAACATCAAACATACAGTATATATTTCTAATTATATGCACAATATATTCATTATATATTTTATATTAAGTACGTTTAGTAATTTAAAAAAATAAAAGTACAGTAGAGCGTCGTTTATCTGAATCAATTGGGGACTAAGGTTATTCGGATAACTTATTTTTGGATAACCAATTATGTACAAAAAAATATGTTAATTTATCCCGTGTTGAAATTTTTCTCCGTTGCGTGTCGCTTTGCGTTGAATTTTCATCGATGTTAAGCCTAACAAAGACTATTGTATCGTTAAAAATTATTTTTTTATTTTGTACAAACAAAATAAATATATTGAAAAATATAAAAACAATAAAAAATTATACTTCAGAAGTTAATTTAGTATCAAAAACGTAAAATACTTGAGTAGCCGAAGACATAGCCAAAGATTACAGTGCCACAGCACTGGCAAAAATTTAAATTTTTTGACTGGAATTCCTTCGGATAACCGACATTTCGGATAAAAGACGCTCTACTGTAATGCCTCATCAATATTCAATTCCGACATTAAATACTAAATTTTTTAATATAAAACAAATGATATTTTTATCTATCATTTCAGTACTACTTTTTTTTTCAATTTGCACATTAAAATTATTTTACTTTATTTCTTTAAAACAATATAAATTAATATTTAAAATAATGCTTAAGATAAATCTTATTTAAATTTTTAAAAACAACTTACATGATTCCTAGGATCTTTATATGGGATTTTTAACATATCCATAGCTTTAATCATACTCTGCATTGCCATGAATATATTTTGATACACAAGCTTAATAAATCCCTTTTTATCTTCATCAGTATATCCAGATCCATGGATAATCCTCATCTGTTTAATAAATGTACTTTTACCAGATTCTCCAGTTCCTATCATAAAAAATGTTTCAAATTAATTTTTTAATTTAAAACTTAGTAAATAACTTGAAGAATTATTAAAAATACACTTCTTCAATAAGCTATTAACAAAGCNAATAAATAAACAAGTTCAATATAATTACCTCTGTTATTAGATTCAATAGATTCCCTATGCCCTCTAAATGCCAATTCTTGCTTTGATAAAAACATATAACATCGATTAGCCATAATTACCTTGTTATAATTTTCAATATTTATTTTATATTATTTACTAATGTTAAATTCTATTCCGTTCCGATTTCCAAATTGCTTAAAATATGAAAGAATCCGACAATTTTTTGTGTCTTTTGCCAGCTAAATTGTCAAAGCCATTCTTATTCCACACACTAATTTCATTTGAAAATAGTAACCAAGCCAACAAAACAAATTTTGCATTTTTATGCATTTACAGAGCCATTTTATCTTGAAAATGTCAAACAAATTTTTTATTGAAGCGTTTATATTTAACTTAGGCATTGGCCTTTCTCTTTTAATAATGTTTTCTTTTTCATTATATGATTAAGTTATAAATGTATTCGTGATTCACATAATCGGCCAAATATCTAGCGGGCAGGCAGCTAACAGCCCAGAACTGGTCTTGGATAGAATTGGATGCGTTATACGTGTAGCATCCACCCAAGGTACTAGGCTTTCACCAGCTAAACCAAGTGAGGTTGGTGCTCCGTAAAGTGCATGTGCGAATCTGGCTTTTTGGATGCTGACAATACAGCGCTTCCACTTCTCCACTAATATTCAAATATACAATAGCAATCTTATCTTTTTTTTTTTTTTTTTCATATGTAGTATAGAAATTTGTAATAAGATGCATAATGTTTATAAATTATTTTCATATAATTAAAATTGATATGTATTTATTTTTTAGAAAATACAAAGGAAGCGGCGCATCCACTGCTTCCAATGACGGCACACCATTGTTCAATATGGTATTGGGCTGTCAGTGGCTTGAATTACTACATCGACTCTCTTAGGCATGCTTTCAACCAAATTCTGATAGGTATATAGAGGACATTCCTCCATTCCTCAAAGATAGCCTCAGTACTGTTGGAGTGAATAATGGGCATGTTGATGGCACTGAGATATGGCATTCTAGTTCATCCCATAGCTTCTCGATAGGATTATGATTTGGACTTTGGGCTGACCAATCAAACTTGTGGACAATTCTGTTCTTCAAACCACTCCTCAACTCTGTGCTGTAAAGCATGATGCTTGGTCATGTTGACAGAGGCATGGAACTGAACCAAGGTCATGCCACATTGTGATCAATGTCTCTGTACCTAATGGTCCTAGTCCTTCCCAGCAGAAATACCTCTGCATCATAAAGTATATACAAAACTTCACTGTTGAGACAACATAGCTGCATATAAATTGCTCTTCAGGCAACTATCACATCAAAATATGACCATCGATTCCGGTAGATCAAACTTTTTTGCCAATTCACAAATTTTCATTTTTGTATCGAAGTCTTTAATAATGTTAACTTTACATTCCAAAGATAAACTTTTTCTTTTCTTGTTTGATGCAGAATCAGTTCTACTTCGTTTGGATGACATAGTAAAGTCTCTCGAGTCTCCGTAGATATAACAAACAGAAATAAATAACACAAAATAAATTGTAGCTATGCGTCAATTCCATGCGACATTTCCGAACATGTAAGCTGAACAATAGTGTGAGGGGAGTGAGTAATCAAGAGTTGCATGGGCTCAAACAAAAGACGAATCGGCGAGATTTGAAAATCGCATAACTCCGGGTTTGCATAAGTCGAGGTATTACTGTATTAACACTTTCTTCTGCTCACTGGCAGTTTAAGAATGAAGCACCAAGCACTATTGCAGTCACTACTGTTCATTTATTGCTGTAATGTTCAGCTTGTATGCAGCTACTTGTCCATGGTAATCTTTCACATGTAGTTCCCTGTACATGAATATTCTAACATTATTGGATGTTCCAATGGCTTGTAAGACCTCCTAAATGACATTTTTTGGGGATGTTTGACAGATGTCAAATGAATGAGTGTGACACTAACTAATTGATTTCAAGAAAGTGCAATAGAATGACAGTGAGAGTTTAAATTTTTATTTGTGAATGTTAACTCTGATTTATATGCACAATGAGACCTAAAAGCTGGAAATATTGGATTCATCTTCTAAAATCATTTGAGAATTCCAAAAGATGAATCAAATATATTAGTAATTTAAAAAAAAAAAAATCTGATAAAAATTAAAGTACAGTAAATCCTCAATTTAACAAACCCCAATTTAATGAACTTTGGATTTAACAGGAAAAATTTAAACCTTTTTATTTGCAAATAGGTCATGCTAAAAAAGTGGGTAGATGAGTCAATGAGTATAAAGTACTCAATGTATATTATAACATTATTTTATTCATACTTATACATTATAACAATATTTTAATACATCTTGTACATTTTAAGTTTGTTATTAATACATGTTTTTAATATACAATTTAATAGATTCTTGAAAATAGCAGACATCCCTTCCAATTAGTCTAATTAAACTAAGGGTTTACCATATTAATATTTCTCAAATTTCATAACATAAAATCACTCACTTTATTACTGTAATAATTATCAACTGTATCACAATTAAAAAATATATATTCAAACTTTAAAAAGCAAAATATTTTGTTACTCTGAAAAAAAAAGCTTAGTAATAATACCATAATAAACTAGAAAAAGTTTGAAAACTTTCATTTTCATTACAAAACACTATCAAATTTGCACAATAGGAATGAATAAATTATATTAAAAAAATTTCCAACAACAAACTTGTTTTTGAATAAATGCATCATCCTGGAAAGATAATACACATACATAATCTTTCCTTCACTCTCTATGTATAGGAGATGTTGATCCCAAAGTAAACATTCATATTTTTATTTATAACTCTTCAGTCATTTATATTATTTTATTTTCTAGTTAGTTTATATTATATAAATATATTTTTTGTTTTTTGAATTAATTAATTCATAAATTAAAAGATTATAAATATCATAAAAAATCATTTAACAATATAATTTAATACTTGATAATGCCATGACATTTTAAATACCAAATTAGCACTTAGTTTAAATAAAAGTAAAATTTTATCATCATCAAATATATCATAAAATATATTTTGATTGTATGTTCTCTTGGAAACTGGCATAAAAATTATTATTGAGAACATATCATATAGGAACACTCCTCTTGATGGAAAAAGTAGATTTTTATTTTCTATAATTTACGAAGGATATGCATTTTGAGCATTACGCCCCCTCTTCAGTTATTATTAAGAAAATGGTGAAACTAAAAGTATAATTATAGTGACTACTGGAATAACTAATTGTTAAAAATTTAGAGTAGAACAAGTAAAACTGTAAAAATAAAAATTTTCTACCCCATGTTTTTAAAAATTAGTTATTTCAGTAGTCACTGTAATTATATTTTTAGTTGCACCATTATCATAATAAGAACCAAAGAGGGGCCTGAAATGCATATCCTTTGTAAATTATAAAAAATAAAAATTCCCTTTTTCCATCAAGAAGTGTGTTCCTGTATGATATGTTCTCAATAGCAATTTTATGCTAGGTTCCAAGGAACATACAATCAATTGAGAGAACAGCAATCAAGTATATTTTGATTCTTTTTGTAATCATATTACTGAAAGAATCAAAATATAAATTAATTTCATGCATTATTACACATAATTTGTAAAAACATTTAAAAATTTACAAATCAGAAATAAAAAAGTAAAAACCAGTAATAAAAATAGTTTAAAGCATTAAATGAGTATTTACGTAATAAGCAAGTAACTTTGATCAACACATTAGCACTTCTTTTAAGTGTGAGCTTTAGTGTGATGCTCTGATTCTGTTTGATGATTTCAAAAGAATCAAAAAGGACCAAAAAAGTTAAATTTTTTAATAAAAATAACACCCCAATACTGGTTAATATTAATCCGAGATCCACTACTTCACAACATTTTTGTCTGTTTTAAAAATGAATAAAAATGTTCACTTATCAAAGTGAGTAGTTCTTTTCTATTGCTGGTTCTTTGGTTTGTGAAGTAGTGGATCTCAGATAAATTTTTTAAACTATGAAAAGAAATATTTTATAATTTTACCTGAAAATAATTGAATCAAGATCAAATGGATATTCAATAATACCAGTTGTGGGCACTCTTACTCTGAGAATATCTTGTTGAGTGGGAAGGTAATCTTGAGCTGCTATTCTATCAATATCACTCAAGTAGCTTTAAAAAAAATTTTAATTATATAAATTTTAATAAATGCATTGAAACATTTTATAAATTATTTATTTTACTTTAAAAATTCCTTTAATAATTGTATATAAAAAACAAATTTGTAAACATATAGAAGTTAGTTATTTTATACTTCCAGATATTTTTAGAATATATTAAAATTATAAAATAAAAGTCCTTATAGAAAGACACCAACCGAATGCTGTAAATCAATCGGGCTATTTTAATGCTAAATTCTAAATAAATTACGTAATTAATTTGGCACTAGAGGTAAGCGTTAGGCGCCATCCCTTATTAAAATTAATAATTATAAATATATTAATTAATTTAAATAATTTGGAACCGCTGGGAGAAAAAATCGGCCCAGAGCGGGACTCGAACCCACAACTCCTGCTTACCGTGCAGATGCGTTGCCAGTTACGCTATCCGGACCTCC